GTTCATTCCTGTGCACTTTGAATCATCTCTACATTACTTCTAATACCCAATACAATGTAAATGCTTTGTAAATAGTTGTTATACTGTATTGTTCTTCATTTTTATCATCTGTTATTCTTTCTCTTTTTTCAAATATTTTGGATCCCTGGGTGGTTGAACCCACATTCTGTTGAATCTATGGCTACGAGACCCATGGATTCGGAGGACTAGCTGTATAATACTAGTGGGTAGTACCGTATTTTTGGAAATACTCTGATAGTATATGCCAAGAGGTTCTATTTACAATAATATCTATGGTAGCACTATTTACAATAGTGAAGCAGTTCACCAGTCCAACAAAAGGTATATTATATGGTGTCATAATAGCCGGCAATTTAAAATTATTTTATGAAGAATTTTTAAAGGTAAGATATTGTTTATGACAAAGTTAAGTAGAAGCACATGTTCAGTTTTTTTACAGCAGAAGGAAAAATACCAAATGTTAGCCATGTTTTTCCCCATGATTGGGGTTAGAGATTACTTTTGGTTTCTTATACTATGTATAATTTATCCCTGAAGATTCCAACCCTAATAAATGTTATTTTTTAACGGAAGGAGAAATTTTTGAGCAGAAGAGAGTTTCTTTCCAGTTGTTAGGACTGCTGCCAGATCCACCGAACACCCTTTCTGCAGTCCTTGATTTTGGCAACAATATAAAAATGAGGGTATTTCATGAACATTGATAGCAGAGAATGTAAATTACCCTGTGTATTTTGGCCCTGTTTTTGCTTCCAATCATTGGTCAGAGGCCAACAAAAATAAAATGAAAACTACTCCTCTTGTTTCTGGAAGATCTTTCCACAGTAGGGCACATCACCCAGAGTTCTTGGCTGTCCTCTGTCTATAGGAAAGGATCTTGTTGAAATGCATTGGGCATACACTGAAGCATGCACACACACACACACACACACACACACACACAGAGCCATCCCTGCTGGAGAGGGTGACCCAGAGAAAATGGAGGGAAATACGAAGAAAGGTTTCCTGACATCTGCTTCTACTTGGTGCCAGGCAAGCCACACTGGGTACCCAGAGTCCACCACAGACTGGGCCTTCTGGCTTTAATAAGACTGTTTGAACACAGCCATCTCTGCTCCCACCAGAAATCCCACTGAAATGTGGTAAAGAGATTTTTAAAAGACAAGAACCCACAAGGAAAATACACAAACCAAACAAAACAGAAGACTATACAACATAAATAAATAGATAAGTGAAGGAATCAGGATCTGGACAGCAAATGAACAAATATCCTGGCAGATAAAAGAAACTTAAAGGTGAGATGGCAGTGGGATATTCCCTCGAGCAACCTAATTTCACATGGTGGAACCTCAGTAAGGACGGAGATCACAGGTACCCTCGAAAGTGGGGATGTAAGAGGGCCTGGAACCAGAAGCTGATCGTCTGTCTAAGAAGCCATTAGAGCCCCAGATCCCCTAGCTCACATCGTGGCAGGGTACTCCCCTGGATTCCACCCTAATGAGTGGTTTGTTTACTAGACAGGATGGACCATGCCATGGAGGTCCTGGGAGTCATACTGAAAATCATTTAGACTAAAGTAAAAGCCTATCTATAAAATAGTAAGACTTCCTGGTTCCTTCCCCTTGGTTCTGAGAACTACGGCAGCCAGATTTGCCCCAGGCATATTAATGGAGAAATCTAGTTGGGGGTGGAAAACCATGAGCATCAAAGCCACACATGGCCTTCTGGATCCTCAAATGCTCCCAAGAGCAGCCCTTTCCACTGAATCCAAATGTCACAGAACAAATTCCTTTATTAAAATGTGTATTCAGTCAAAAGGCCACATTCAAGGATCTAGAAGGTCATATGTGGCCCCAAGGCCACAGGTTCCTCACCTCTACTCCAAAACCATTCTACTCTCTGCTAGTCTCTCCCTCCTCTGGCTCCTCTGTGAGGCTTAGTGGGAGATTCAGGGCTAGAGAGGAAGAAGGCACTGGCTTCCTTATTTGCTTCCCTGTGTCGTCAGCATGGTCAGCATCAGCATCTTCACGGCCAAGGGTCTTCAGCCCAGCAGCAACAGTTGGTCCTAGTAGCAGTAGCTGGTCCCAAATTGTATTTCTTTCCCACTCCCAGCACCAGGCTGGTAACATCACTTCAGTGACACCAGCACCCCAGCCAGGTCCCTCCTCAGGGTTCTGAGTTCCAGGTCTCTAGGGTTCTTCCTCCCAGAACCCAAATAAGCCCAGCCCCTCCCTTGGTCCCCCCAGCCTCAGGGAGGTGTGGCTGCCTGATTCCACATGTTCCACCTTTACTTCAGTGCCCCTTACTGTCTTTTTAGATCTTAATGTGTGGTTAGCAATTTTTTAAATAAAATTATCTGTCTAAATACTTCAAGTTTGTTTTCTTTGTTTTTTGTTTTTTGTTTTTGAGACAGTCTCCCTCTGACGCTCCAGGCTAGAGTGCCCTGCTGTCAATCTAGGTCACAGTAACCTCAAGTCTTGAGCTCAAGCAATCCTCCTCCCTCAGCCTGCTTAGTAACTGTGACTATAGGCGCCCAGCTAGTTTTTCTATTTTTAGTAGAGATGGGGTCTCTATCTTGCTCAAGCTGGTCTGGAACTCCTAAGCTCAAGCTGTCCTCCCACCTTGGTCTCCCAGAGTGCTAGGATTATAGGCATGAGCCACTGTGCCTGGCCAAATATTTGGAGTTTTTCTTTTACCTGACTGGACCCTGAATACAAAGGTTTTCTGGAGAAACAGTTGAGCCCAATTGCACTATAGCGAAGCCCACTGAAAACCCCACCACACTTAAGATACTTTTCAAACAGCTTAAGATACAAACCAGGGATTACTGACCCTGATTTGAGTAGGGAAAGAGTAACAGAAAGTATTATTAACCGCATCAGGGGACTAGCTATAAAGATGTAAAACAGATTCTGTAGAATGTCCCGGGCCAAAAGAAAGAACTCACAGGAGTTCACACGGGAAGGGCAGACCCGAAAGCTGGATTCGGACCTCATTGCAGAAGTGTGGATGAGCCACCAGGTGGCCCCCAATTTCACTGGGATGCCCACGCCAAAGTCTGTCCATAGTCGTGGGCAAGCAGGAAGCACTTCTTTGGGGTAAAGAGGAAGCAAGGAGCCGATCACGGCGACGGGAGCCCGCTCAGTGCATACAAAGCCTGGGGCATGCAGTGTCCACGCCAGGACCCACTCACTAAGGGGACACACGCCGTCATTACGTAGCACTGGATGTCCCCGCAAAAGCCTAGCAGCAAGAACAAGAATAATCAAAAATCGCAGCTACCCAGAACCAGGAAAAAGAAATTCTTTCCTCCTCCAGTGTCCCCGCAGCGCCCTCTACTGACAAAGCTTAATAGTGTGCTGGTTGCGAAAGAGAACCGCTTACAGCAGCTCCGTTATCAGAGCAGTTGGGAAACAATTAAATTGATAAGGCAGTCATAGTGTGATGAAAGCCATTGACATGAAAGATGGGGATTGAAAACACAAGAATTAAGAAATGTTGGGCGGCGCCTGTGGCTCAGTGAGTAGGGCGCCGGCCCCACATACCGAGGGCCGCGGGTTCAAACCCAGCCCTCACCAAACTTCAACAAAAAAATATACGGGCATTGTGGCGGGCGTCTGTAGTCTCAGCTACTCAGGAGGCTGAGGCAAGAGAATCGGGTAAGCTCAAGAGCTGGAGGTTGCTGTGAGCTGTGATGCCACGGCACAGTGCCCAGGGGGACAAAATGAGACTCTGTCTCTAAAAAAAAGAAAAGAAAGAAAGAAAGAAAGAAAGACAGAAAGAAAGAGAAATGTATAAGAACAGCTAAAGGCACAAAAACCAAAGCAAACAACCATCAGAATGGGAGAAGATATTTGCATGCTGCAAATCTGGACAAAAGGCTGATAACTAGAATCTACAGAGAACACAAAATAATCAACAAGAAAAGAGCAAATCGCCTGTGGCTCAGTGAGTCGGGCGCCGACCCCATATACTGAGGATGGCAGGTTCAAACCCAGCCCCAGCCAAACTGCAACAACAACAAAAAAGAGCAAGTAATCCCATTTATAAATGGGCAAGAGACATAAACAGAACCTTCTCGGAAGAAGACAGACAAATGGCCAATAAACACATGAAAAAATGCCTGTTCTTCCAATCACCTTGAGATACCACCTAACTCCAGTGAAAATAACCCACACCACAAAATCCCAAAGCTGAAGATACTGGCATGGATGTGGAGAGAAGGGAACACTTTTACACTGTTGGTGAGATTGTAAAATCTCTCCCTTGCCTCTCTCTTTAGAAGTTCTATCAAAGCGAAAGACAAAGATATGGGATCCTTCAAAGAGGGAGGCAAATGAAAACCCCAGGAGGTTGTTGGAGGGACACCCCCAGGAGGTAGCTATGCAGAAGAAATGAAGATCAGTGGATTCAGATCAAAATAGACTCTGGGTCTAAAACCTCAGAAATAAAGAAAATTCTTTTACCTAGCTCCAAGAGAAAGATGAAACTGATTAAAAACTACTCTTCCGGAGAATTTAGTGACAGGGTAGCGTAAATTCATAGACAAGTGATCAAAGGAAAATCTAGTAGATTTATATAGTGCTGGATATCATTCCAAAACGCTCAGCTTAGAATCCACTTCCTCAGCAGCACCCCTAGCTCTGTGGGTAGGGTGCCAGCCACATACACGGGAGGTTGGCAGGTTCAAGCTGGCCTGGGCCTGCTAAACAACAATAACAACTGCAACCAAAAAATAGCTGGGCGTTGTGGCGAGCACCTGTAGACCCAGCTACTTGGGAGGATGCGGCAAGAGAATCACTTAAGCCCAAGAGTTTGAGGTTGCTGTGAGCTGTGATGCCATGGCATTCTACTGAGGGCCACATAGTGAGACTCTGTCTCAAAAAAAAAAAAAGAAAGAAAGAAAGAAAAGAAATAGGCACTAGGAAAAGACAGGATGGACAGCAAAAAACAAAATGAAAGAAAGAAAGAAGCCAGTTGAGGTGTTCAGTTTGGCAGCATCTATACTAAAATTGGAATGATACAGAGAAGATTAGCATGGGCCCTGTGCAAGGAAAATTTTTTTTAATTAAACATTGAAATGTTTGCTTCTAAGAAGAGAGAACTAGAGGTTGGTACAGGGATTATTATGGTATAGGGACCATAACTTTTGTCTGGCTTTTAAAATTACATGCATGTATACATTTGGTAAAAAGTTTTAAATAGTGGGCGGTGCCTGTGGCTCAGTGAGTAGGGCACTGGCCCCATATACTGAGGGTGGTGGGTTCAAACCTGGCCCCAGCCAAACTGCAAAAAAATAGCTGGGCGTTGTGGCGGGCACCTGTAGTCCCAGCTACTTGTAAGGCTGAGGCAAGAGAATTGCCTAAGCCCAAGAAGAGGCAGGTTGCTGTGAGCTGTGATACTGTAGCACTCTACCATG